ACAGAATTTTGAGACCTATTAAAACAAAGTTTAATGAGGAAAAAAAAAGTGTGTTTTATGTAAATTATGAATGGAGAATATGTCAAGAGCATAGTTTTTAAACTTAATTTGAGCTTCATTTTAAAACATTTTTTTAAAAAAACTCAGTTATTTCACTTAATTTGCTAGCTTCAGAGAAGAGATACGAATCTGTGCCCGGTGCTAAAGGCTCAGTGGTAGCACAGCTTGTGCTGGCCAGCGTGCTATATTCTTGTTGGAGATGAACCGTAGCCCCAGAGCCCATTCTTCCTTGTCAGTCTTGACCCAAAGATACCACCTTTCCTAGTTATTGGACACCACGTAATTGGTGTCAATTGGAAGCTTTCTGAAATGGTGAAGAACTGCTTGGTTGTCTTTTTCCATGAACTTAAGCATAGTAATATAAATAAAATAATAGTTGGGGAGAAAAAAAAGACACTATGGGGGCTGGGCACATCGCTCAGCGGCTTAAGCCTTCATGGCAAGCACAAGGTCTCAAGTTGGATCCCCTAAACTGTCAAAAAAAAAAAAAAAAAAAAAAAAGACACTATGGTTTTACTAGGAAGTATGGTCATAACACTGGTCTAGATTGGTACAGTACTTGCATGGTATGTGCAAGGCCCTAGCTTCCTTCCCTAGTTACAAAAGGTGGTGGTGGTAGCAGGGGGAGTAAGGCCATAAATAATGTGAAGCTTGTGTCTTCACATTCTCCTGTAAAATTTCATCAGAAATTAGTTTGTTTCAGAGGTTGGTCTATGAATCCGTATTTCAAGGAAATTGTTTTCACTTTTCTGCAGAATCCCAAATCTTTAATAAGCCATGCATCAAGAGGGTCCATCAAGCTCTCCCCTCAGTCCTCCAGGGCCGGGCTCATAGGGCAGCTGGCTGCTCGCCAAAAGCAGAAGAACATCAGCTCTTTGGCTCTTTCCAGCTGTTTCATTCCACAGTATAATCAAGAAGCTTCTGTCCCACAGAAAGCAGAGAATAAGAGAAAGCATTGCCTACAGGAAAATATAAACAAGGAAAATAAAGAAAACATCAAACTTAAAAGAAAACATGTTACATGTGGTAATTCATCAGAGAAAACAAGTAAACTCATGACACTGGAAGAGGAGGCCAACGAGGCTGAAGCCTGCCTAACCTCTGGGGACTCAGGACACTTTTGCGACATTAGATATCTGGATGATTTGGCAAAACACCAGCTGACAGGAGCGCTCAAGCAGGCAGCAGCCCTGATAGTGACCCTCATGTATAAGGACGGCTCCACCCAGTTAAGTGCTGACCAGGTTAGTAAATAGTAGTGGATTTTGCTGTTTGGGACCCATAAAAGAAGCCTCTTTGTCTTTTTTTGATAGGAGAACCAGAATAAGTGGGAGGGTTTTGTTTTGTTTTGGTTTTGATGCTGGGGATTGAGCCCAGGGCCTTGTGCATGCAAGGCAAGAGCTCTACCACTGAGCCACATCACAGCCTAGAATAAGTTTTAAGGCCTTTTCCTCTTCTCAGTGATGAGTCAGTGATGATGTATGGTTCTATTCAGATTTTTAGGTAACTGCCAGACTGGATTCTAGAGGGGATGCGCCCATTTATATTCATTCCACCAATAATGTAGCAGGGCTTCAAATTCTCCACAACATTGCATTTTTTAAATTTTATCCATTTACATAAAGTGATATTTCATTGTGCTTTTATTTTATTTATTTATTTATTTATTTATTATTTTTAATGTATTTGTACAGGATCTCACTATACAACTCAGACTTGTAATGATCCTCTTGTTTTCAGCCTCCCCAGCACTGGGATTATAGGCGTGCACTACCACACCTGGACTTGTTTGTAGGCTCAGCATGCCACAGGGGCAGGGCCAGCACATCATGTGGGACCAGGCATCGAATCCTGGTCCCTGCACTTGCCAAAGCAAGCTATCTCACCAGCCCTTTTTTATTTTATTTTATAACTGTGCTTTTAAATTACATTAATCTAACAGCTATGACATTGCACATCTTTTTGTGTGCTTATTAGCTATTTATCTATCATCTTTGGTAAAATTCAGGTTTTTTTATAATTAAGTTTATTGGTACAGTTTATATATACATAATGATCACATTTGTCATAGGGAATTTGTACCTGTACCTGATATATCTTAGTTCTTCCTTTTTTCCCATTCAGTTCCCCTCTCTTCAACCCCTCTTCCCCTCCTTGTTCTAAAGCTTTATTTCCATTTTATCCTTTTTATTTCATTTTTTTCCCTTTCACTCCCCTTTGCCCCCCTCATTCTCCTTCCCTTTGCCCATTTAAAATTGGCTTATTTGTGTTTTATTTTGGACCTAAAAGAGTTCTTTATATATTCTGATTCAAGTCCTTCATAAAATATATGATTTGTAGTTAACCAAATCTATGTCATTTTTTAAAAAAACTAATAGTGTTTTTTGAGAAAAAAAATTTAAATCCAATGAACTCTAGTTTTAAAATTTTTTATTACCTATTCTTTTGTTATATCCAAGAATGTTTTGTCTATTCAAAGACATGAAGATTTACTCCTTTTTTGTTTTTATAGTAGTGGGGTTTTAACCTAGGTCTTTTGCACTGAGCTGCATCCCCAGCCCTTTTATATTCTTTTTTATTTTGAGACCGGGTCTCACTAAGTTGCTAAGTTTCTCAGGCTGTGCTTCCAGGCTTGTGATCCTCCTGCATCAGTCTTCCAAAGTGCCAGGATTCTAGGTGTGCACCATCATTTCTAACTCTTGGATTTTTTTTCTAAATTTTTCTATAGTTTTAGCTCTTTCACTTAGATGGATGATCCACCTTAAATTACATTTTGTACAGACCTGAGATCAGGGCAGAAACTCACCCTTGTGGGCCAGCCAGACAGCTCAGAGGACGAAAGTGCCTGCTTAGGCCGAACTCAGTAGCTGGGGTTGGATCCCAGCACATGCCGTGCCAGCCCTGTCCCCGGAGCATGCTGAGATGTTGACTGAGACTGGGCATGGTGGCATGCGCCTGTGATCCCCATGCTTGAGAGGCTGAAAACAGACGGATCACTCTGAGTCTGATCTGTGTTGTGAGACTCTGTGTACCCTGTAGACCCTGTCCAAAATTCATAAGAAAAGAGAAACTCACCCTTGCATGTGACCATCCAGTTGCCCCAGTATTATTTGTTAAAAGGGCTCTTCTTTTCTCTATTGAATTTTCTTAGTACTTTTATTAAAAAATTAATTGACTATAAATCTAAGGGTTTATTTCTAGATATTGATTTTCCCCTTAATCTTTATATCTATCCTATGCTGGCATCATGTTTCTTAATTACTGAAGCTTTGTAGTTAAGTTTTGACCTCAAGAAGCATGAATCCTCTTAGTACATAATTTTCAAGATTGCTTTGGGTATTACTGTTCTTTGGTACTTCCATGTAGATATTAGGATTAGTGTGCCAATTTCTGCAAACAACCAGGTGGAATTTTGATTCAAATTGTGTTGTAACTATAGATTAATTTTTATAGAGTCTTGCCATCTTAAGCATAGTGAGTTTTCTGATGGTAAACATGAGGTATCTATTTATTTACTTAAAATCTTAATCTTTTAGCAGTATATTGTAATTTTAAGTATGATATGTAAGTCTGTCCTTCCTTCTTTCCTTTCTTCCTTCCTTCTTATCTCTCTGTGTTGTCTAAGCTGGTCTAAAGCTCTTGAGATCAAGCAATTTTGCCTCAGCCTCCTGAATATCCAAGACTACAGATACATATCACCATGCCCAGATTTTTCATTCTGAAAGACACTTTGCTGGCTAACGAATGTTGTTTTCTTTTTCTTTTTGCAGTTTTAACATGTTACTCCACTGTCTTCTAACTTGCTTTATTTCCACAAGTAATCTGCTGTCATCCTTATTTTCGATATTAAGGTGTTTTTCTTTATCACTGGCTTAAGCAGTTTTGGTTTATTTGTTTTTGAGAAAAGTCTTGAACTTTCTATGTATCCTAGACTTGAACTCAAAATCCTCCTGCCTCAACCTCCAGAGTGCTAGGATTACAGATGTGGACTACTATGCCCAGATAAGCTTAAGCAATTTTATTATCATGTAGTTTTCTGGGGTAGTTTTCTTCATGTTTCTTGTACCTAAGATTTATTGATCTTCCTGGTTAATTAGAAGAGGATTTATTAAGTTGAATTTTCCCATCTTTGAATATATGTCTTCATTATTTAGTAAAAGGCGAAAGATTTATACGTTCTGAAGAGAAACCAGAGTATTGTCTTCGTTATTTAGATCCCTGATTTCTTTCATTGATATTTTTTGGTCTTTAGCATACAAATTCTATACATGTTTTCTTGATTTTTTTTCATTTTTTTGAGTTATGATGAATGACAATTAAAAATTTTCACTTCACATATTTTTTGCCAGTATGTAGAAATATATTTGATTTTCATATTTTCATATTTTTATCTTATATCCTGAAACTTTACTGCAGTCACATTTTATTTTATTTTTTGAATTTTATTTATTTGTGTGTGTGTGTGTGTGTGTGTGTGTGTGTGGCCAGCTCAGCCCACCAGGGGGCGGGGCTGGCTGGCATGTGGTGCTGGGGGATTGAACCGCGGTCCCTGATGCTTTGCTAAGCTTGTTCTAAGTAGGTGCTTTAGACCACCGAGCCATCTCTCCAGCCCCACAAGCTTGTTCTAAGTAGGTGCTTTAGACCACTGAGCCATCTCACCAGCCCTGCAGTCACATTTTAGTTCCAGAATTTTAAAAAATGATTAATGTTTCCCACATAGTCATTCATGTTACTTATAAATAGGGACAGTGTAATTCTTCCTCTTTGTGGTACATTCCTATTATTTCTTTTTTCTGTCATATTGTACTGTCTAAGACTTTCATGATGATGTGGAATAATAAAGACCAAATTTGGAGAGTAAAATCATGATTTAGTTTTTGGCCTTTTGACTATTCCTTTACAACTGTAACTTTCCATTTTATTTTTATGTATTTTTTAAAATATAGTTTAGTACAGGGACTACAGGGTCTCACTACACAGATCAGACTGGTAGTGCGCCTCCTGCTTTCAGCTTCCCAAGCACTGAGATTATAGGCGCGTGCCACCACACCCAGTCTCAGTCACTGTCTCAGCGTGTCCTAGGGGCAGGGCTGGCATGGCAGGCCAGGGATTGAACCCTGGTCCCTGCACCTGTCTAAGCAGGTGCTTAGTCCACTGAGCTATGTTGCTGGCCCTTACAACTGTAACTTTAGATGTTTTCTCTCCCAACCTAATTATAAAATGACATATCTTGCTTGAATAGATATTTTGTCCATGTTTAATTTTGGAACTTCATTATATATTCACAGACCCTGACTTCCTGTGTTAAGGGAGTTGTGATCTTATTGAAGAGCCATGTGGAGGCAGGTGATAGCCTTCTGGAGAGCCTGACCTTTAGTGGTGGCCTGGCAGGTGGCTCCAGGCGAGAGGATTGGTGCCTCTACATACACATAGAGCATTCCAGTCTCTGGGACCAAGAGCAAGAGGTACACAAGTTATTTGCCAGGTAAGAAACCTTAACTAATTACCTTCAATACTCCTTACATCCTGCTTCATCCTAACCTAGTTTTCTAAGCTCCAGTTATAAATATTTGGACTTCAGAAATTTTGTAAGGACAAATGGAAGTGAAACGAATCTACATGACAGAAACCTCTATAAAGCTACCTCCTCTGTCCCGAACCAGCGGGTCAGTCAACAAAGGTCACCTGGGGGAGGAGCGGGGAATTGAAGAGGGGACAAAGGACAAGAGATGCAAGAAATGGAGCCAAGACAGGATTCTGATCAAGTCTGGTTTATTTAGGGGAGGTGCTGGGTATATATAGTGGAGGCATAGGGAAATGACGTTGGAGGGTAAAAAGGTGCGAATAACTAGGCAACCGGGCTATGACAGGAAGTCCCACCTCCTGGGCATAGCAGGAGACTTATGGGAAATAGGCGGGGTAAGAACTAGGAACCTAGCTCATCAGAAGTAGGTGAGGAGGAACCTGGAAACCCACTTGCAATAGGATTGGAGGCCTGGAGTTATTGTGCCTCCCACAATTCCCCCTTTACTTTTATATATGTATATAAAATATGGCTTCTTAGACGGCTGATTTCCTTGAGGGGGTAGTGCCTGTCTTAGGTCGAGGTGTCCTCTACATGGACCCGACTCAAACCTTACCCGTCATAGGAGACCAGGACGGCAAAAGGTCCCGTTTTTGTCTTAGGTGGTGAGTGGTGTCTCGTGTATGTCCCTCATTATCTGTTTCTGGCTAGCCTGACCATCTCAGGGTGGGAGAACTAAGACCATCATCATCATAAGCTGGTTGTATTCCAGCACAGTTTTTTCTTTTAGCCATCTCAAGCCTGTGATAATGAACCTGTATGGGTTGTATTTTAATAGCATCCAATTGTTTTTTAATGAAAGTCATCAGCCTATTGAAAAGACAGGGTCCTATTGATAAAAGTATTAATAGTCCAATCAAGGGTCCCAGTAGGGGGAGAAGGTAGGGTAGTACTCCATTTTATGCACTCCAGAAAGAATTTTTAAATAGCTCTCTTTTCCTCTTAATAAGATCTTCTTGAAGTCTCTTTATTTTATCTCGAACAATACCGGACTTGTTTGCGTAGAAGCAGCATCGTTCCTGTAAAGCCAAGCAGATCCCTCCCTGCTCTGCTGTTAGAAGGTCTAAGCCCCTCCTATTTTTTTTTTAAATTATTTATTTATTTTTATTTATTACATTTATTTATTGTGTGTGTGTGTGGCCAGCTCAGCCCACCAGGGGGCAGGGCTGGCTGGCATGTGGCGCTGGGGGATCGAACCGTGGTCCCTGTGCTTGGCCAAACTTGTTCCAAGTAGGTGCTTTAGACCACTGAGCCATCTCTCCAGCCCCGCCCCTCCTATTTTGCAAGACTATTTCTGCTAATGAATCTATCTGGTCTTGGATATCTTGGATAGTACCAGACAGTGTTTGAACATCATCAATCAGCTGATTAGATAATTTAGTGTAAGAATGTATTGCTACTCCCAATCCTGCTGTGCCTGTCCCCAGGGCTTCTGTAATTCCCAGTCCTACCAACAAAGGGATAAGCTGAACTGCCCTTTTAGTGTGGCCCATGACATAGTCAAAGCTAGGAATGGGCATGGGCTCTTCTCCAGATATGACATCTATATCAGGCAATACAATTGCCATGACACACAGTCCTGTCCAGTTGGTAGGTAAATATGTGAAGGCTAAACTTCCCCCACATACAAACACAGGTCCCTTTTTTTGGCAAATAGGGCTACTGTAGTTAAGTATTTGATTGCAGCTGGTGAAGGTAACAAATCCCACATCAACAGTGAAGGTGTCATTGTGGAAACTTCCTTGTATACAGGAAAAATTCCATAGGAGATAACCCCTCCAGAGAGGGTGGCTCTGGCTAATGCCTACCAGTCCTCAGGAGTAAGCTAATTGTCAGCCACAGTTTCTAAAATGGCTGTGGTGTATGGAGCCATGGTTCCGTATTGGGCAACTGCTGCTGCCATTCTGGAACAGGGGGTCTTGTGGCTTTCCCCTCAAGGCAAAGTCCCTGACCTTTGAGTTCTGAGGCTGTAAAGGGTAGAGACCTGTCTCCTCCTGTGATGCCCTTAGGCTATCCCTTCCATTCTCAGGTTCCTTCCCGGCAGTGGAGATCCTCTCAGCTCCATCTTTGCAGTCTACAGCTTTCTTGGCGCTTTCTTTTTGGCCAAGCTCACAACATTTTAAATCCTCCTGCTGGGCCCCTTGCTCTTTATTTTCAACATAAATCTGGCTTCCTGGTTTGGATTTTAAGATTTTGTTCTCTTCAGGAGGGCACACACCCTTAGGGGGTTCTTTGTCCTTTAAGATGAGTTTTACCTTTTTGTCCTTATAGTATATTTTCACCCTTTTTTAATCACATTAGCAACAACCGGGTCACAGTGTCTCTGGGATAAGATTTCATCAATTAAATTCCAGTAGGAAAAGGCCATAACTGGTGTTATAGGTAGCCAAATTAAATAGAAATATTAATAGACAGTCAGACAGGGCAAGGCCCTTGAAGGAGACAGCACAAAAGACAAGTTATCTTGCAACTGTGGGAAGGACGGATGCTCCTGCGGTGAGCCAGACCTAAAAGACCTAAAGGCCAAACAAATGCTAAAAGAGTAGCACCTAGAATTGATATTCTAAATAGGTATCGATCACCTAAAAAGGCCCAAGTGAGTCACCAGCCCAACCCCCAACAAAAAGAGACCCTGTCCCATATTCATGCCCGCTTACTCTGAGACTCACTTTCCCATTTGGCCCTGGGTGTAATCAACTTTATCTGAGCAATGGTGCTTGCAGTCTCATTAGTTGATCATAGTTTTGTCCCACTCCACATCCACCTAAGTGAGACCCCTTTTTCTCTACCTTAACCCCGCATGGTTTTGCTCTATAAAAATAAACTGAAAGAGACAGCTTCCTGGGCAACCCGCTCGGGTCCCCCTTCTGTCCTCTCTGAGACAGAAGCTTTCTTTTTCAATAAAATATTCTACTCTCAACCTCCGTTTGTTTCTAAAATTTATTTTTCAGTTTTAGAGAACACGAACTCATTTAGATCAGGTCAGGAGTTTTACTTCCCTGTATCACTGGGACCTTTTTAGGTCCAGAAGTCTCATAATAATCCTTAAGGGCATCACCAACCCTTTTCTATCACCTCTGATCAATAGTTCCTTCAATAGGGAACCATGGGCAAACTTGTTTAATATAGTCAAAATATTGACACAAATCCTTAATTTTAACCTTTACTCCTCGCGCCTTAATGCTTTGCTCAAACTTTCTACAAATATCCCATGTTCACTTAATGCCTGTCCCATTGCCAAAAGGAAGGGAAAGGGGGTGTCATCCGCTTACCGAGGTTCAGAGGTTGCAGCAGGCAACTGCAGCACGGGCCTCTTTTACTTTCTCTTTTGTCTTTCTCTCTTGCTGGCTCTCTCAGACGGTTCCGACGCTGTATCCTCCATACCAGGTGCCCCACGTTGGGCGCCACTTGTCCTGAACCAGTGGGTCAGTCAACAAAGGTCACCTGGGGGAGGAGCGGGGAATTGAAGAGGGGACAAAGGACAGGAGATGCGAGAATGGAGACAAGACAGGATTCTGATCAAGTCTGGTTTATTTAGGGGAGGTGCTGGGTATATATAGTGGAGGCATAGGGAAATGAGGACGGCAGGTAAAAGGCGCAAGTAACTAGGCAACCTGGCTATGACAGGAAGTCCCACCTCCTGGGCATAGCAGGAGACTTATGGAAAATAGGCGGGGTAAGAATTAGGAACCTAGCTCATCAGAGGTAGGTGAGGAGGAACCCAGAAACCCACTTGCAATAGGTTTGGAGGCCTGGAGTTATTATGCCTCCCACAGTCCTCCCCACAGAGCTTATGGAATGAGGCCTGTCAGTTATGTGGGAGTCTCCTCAGGGTTTTAAACACTTCACAATGAGAATTTGGGGAGTAAAGCCTCCTCCCCAAGTCTAAAATCCAACCATGACCACCAGGGTCCAGATGATTTCCCAGCCCTCTTCCTTTCTCCATTGCAGCGTGAGGAAATGTGCCATTTCCTCAAATGTGCCAGTTGCAAATAGTCAGCTGTCCTCTCATCCACCAAGTAGAACCAGCTTCAGACCTCTGTGTCTGTGAAAGTACAGGGTGGATGTAGTTTGACCCTATTGTGGCTTGTATTTAGGTGTCTCCCTAAAGCTTCATGCAGTCACAGGTAGGGCTGTTCAAGGGCGTATGATTACTAAATCAGTCCCCTGGAGGCCTGCCCATTAGCTCAGGTGTTTAAGTGCCTGCTGAAACAAAGCAGTGAGGCTCAGGATGTTGTGGTTTGATCCCCTCATCCTCAAGCCAAACCAGACCTTCCCTGAAGGCATCCTGAGTGCCCCCCCACCAAAAAAAACCCCAACTAAATCACTCCCCTTATTGGGCTCTGGGTGATTTTTAGGTAACTTTTGGGAAGAAGAGGACAATGTTGACAAATCTACTACTCTGTTCACAAGAAATTCTTAACTTTGTGTATAATTTTCTTTTGTGTGTGTGTTTTAGGGAAGGGTCTACAGGGTGTTCAGGGTCTCACTACATAGATCGGACTCATAGTGATCTGCCTATTTACAGCCTCCCGAGAGCTGGGATTACAGGCATGTGCCACCTCGTCCAGTCTCAAGTGCCACCTCAGCGTGCCCCAGGGGCAGGTCCAGCATGGCAGGCCAGAGGATCAAACCCCAGCCCCTGCGCCTGCTTGCAGATGCTTTAATCTGCTGAGCTATTTGGCTGGCCCTGTAATTTTCTTTTTAAAGAATGATTAGTCAGATCTGTTTTTTGGAGTATTTTAGTGAGACTAGAGTCTCAGGCTTTGCCTGAGCTCCAGATTTATATATTCTACACATGTTCTCCACCTGAGCATCTTGGGTCCTTTCACTCATGTGTCCTGCACCCTTCTTCCTGCTACTCCCCCACAGCCTGGCTGAGGGTCCGTATCAGCATCAGCCCCTTGTGATCTCAGGCCAGAAGGCTTGGTACTATTTTTGGCTTTGGTTTTTCCATGAACCGTATCCAAGTTCTTAATGACCCCTATTGGCTCCACTTCAAGAAGTAATTGGACACCGGCCTACTCTCACTTGCTCATCACTGCCACAGGGAAGGCCACTACCTGGACCAGCTGTGGTAGCAGCTTCCAGCCTAGACACCTGTACCACTTGCCTCTTCAACCCCACTGTCAGAGGGACATGGGAAAACATCAGTTGAGTCATGTCACTTCCCCTCAAGACCCCCTGAGGCAAAGTGGGAATTCCTGCCACTGACGAACTGCCTGTGGGCTCCTTCTGCTGAGCTTCCCTGCCTCAGCACACACAGCCTCCCTTTCTGTAGCATCTTGCTGATAGTCACTTGACTTACTGCCTCAACTCTAGGTTTTTGTCTAGACAAAGGGTGTATTATGGAAAAAAACAAAGGTAGAGCATAATACTGCACTCCCCTCAACCAACATCACCAGACTTTTGTGTATTTCCTTCATCTATTGTTTTTTAGGGTTGACCAAGTGGGCTGTATCTAAAGGAAACCCAGACTTGCCATTCACTTTCACATAAAGAACAGCTTTAAGAAACATGGACTTTTTTATATATAGCCATAACACTATTTTCAAACTTAAATGTAATGTTCAGTCCAAATTAAAAAGTCATCTGATTGTCTCAAAGATGTCTTTGGACAGTATTGGGATCAGGAGCCCAACAAGCCCCACAAATAACGTTTGGTGGGCATTATCTCTGCTTCTAATATAAACCCTCTTGCAGAAGATCCGTGTCCTTGATCTGTTTACCTTGTTGTGGGGTTCTGTAACTTGCTTTCCTTTCCTCCTTATTTACTGTACAATGAAATGTGGTTCTAACGACCTGAGCCAGCTTGTTTTCTTGGTTATTTCTTCCACATTTATTAGCTAGACTTTTCTGTAATGAGCTGTCCTTCATCACTTAGGCTTTTTATTCTTCTCATCCTACATGTCTTCCTCATGTTACTTGTTGGCCAGGCTTTTTGTAACTACCTGGATAGAATAGTACCCACCTCATACCACACACATCCCCTTGCTCATTCTTCTCTATAACACCTACCACCAGCACCATTATACATGTCAACTTACTTACTGTTTTCTGTGTGTCTACTCCTAAGTCCCTTGGCAGATTTATGTTTCATTTACTTTTGTATACCCATATCTAAGAATGGTGCCACATAACAGGTACTTAACATTTATTGGTTTTTTATTGAGTGAATGTTGAAGCTTCATTTTTATATAAAATTATAGGATAATTATATGAAGACATTGCCTCAAATATCATCCTAATTCTGTAATAGTGTCTTTGGGATTCAAAATGAATTTATATAAGATATATTTAGTTAATACACAATTTTTTGCAAAAACATGCTTAATATTTATTAACTATATGTGCAAGTTCCTTTTATACAAAATATCTCTCATTTTTGTATCACCTCCATATATTTGGTCTTACTAATTCTGTTTTTAATGAGGAAGCTAAGCTGGAAGAAAGCTGATACACTTAAAGCTGTGTATCAGTCTTGTGATTTTTAATGCAAGTTTTTTGTTTTTAGGCTCAAATTTAGCTTTTTTGTTTTTATATTTTACAGTGCTGGAGGTTGCACCTGCTGAGCACACCACTGAGCTATATGCCCAACCCTTGTGTACCTTTTAAAAATATTGTAGTTGGCTTTGTGTTTTATAAATGTGACATAACTGGCTTACACAGTTGGCTCAAAAAGTCTTTCTGTTGTAGCTTTTCTGTCTTATCTAGCTGTACTCCCCACAGGAAGTCCCTGTGGCTATTAGCCGCCTCTTCCAGGGCCTCAGGGCTTCAGGCACCCTTCTTCTCCCGGTGGCCCTATCCTTTTTTCCTCTCTGCCACCTATGCTGCTCTTTGTGATCTGTCTAAGTCAAGACCAGAGGCTGAGCTCCTGACGTTTTTTGCTCTCCCTGCTTCCTGGGCTTCCTGTTTAAAAACAAAAACAAAAACAAAGGGAAGTCACATAACTTGGGAAAAACTTGAAAATCTCTTTCTGGTGTGAAACAGTGAAGGCCTACTGTACATTTACTTCATATGTGGAGCTCATTTAACTCCTGGTTTGTTCTTTTCTCTGCCTCATCTAAAGAACCTCATTAATGTATAAGCACTTCCTGAGAGAATTTATACCTTGGTGGCTTATTTTCAGCTCTGGTCCCAGAGGCCTGTGTTGGCACTCATTGGATGTAACCTCTGGAAAGCTTAGGTCCCCAGAATGCGTAGGATCGGGATGGAGTTGTAGTGCACAACCCTTGGGAGGTATTAGCAAGGTACTGGCAATAATAAACATTCAATAAGTGTGAACTCTTATAAGCCCCCTATGCAGGGAGCTCCTAGGATACCGTCCAGCAAATGTGGATCCTTCTTGCTCATTACGTGGCCGGAGTACAGCAGGCATAAGGAGGCCTGCTCTCTTTGGGGACAGTACTTGAGCAGTTTGCAGAGTTGTGGGAGGAAGACCATAGTCAAGAATGAGCAAGTGGCCCAAGAGCCGGAGAGGAAATGGCACAGGTCAGTGGGGGAGGGAAGGATTCAGCATGACAGCAGGGCAGAATGCTGGAGGGCCCAGGATTGCTGTTCGGGTTCTGCCTCGGGCCAGCGTCTGGAGTCTAGAGTATGTTTGATTGGTGCAGCAATTCAGACCTCACTTTGCAACCCCTGGGATATGACTAAGCTCTGTGTCTCTTCTCCATTCTCTACAAAATGCAGATAAGAAATAATGCTTCCTCCCAGAATTCAACACTCAAGGCATGTATATACTAAATAGTAATAGCAGTAGCTTTTAGGAGAGTTTTAGTAATATTTTTCCAAGGTCAAAAGTTCTGAATTAATGTCCAAATCAGTTAATTTCTTTCTGTCTTTTAGGAAAGTGCTATTTCAAACACTGAAGTGTAAATGTCCTGTTATTTGTTTTAATGCCAAGGACTTTGTGAGAACAGTACTGCAGTTTTTTGGTGATGATAGCAGTTGGAAGCATGGTAAGTTACATGTCACTGTCTTCACAATTTAACTCAACCATGACCCCTGTGGGGTGGGAGGAGGAGGAGGGTCACCAGGTCACAAGCTCCAGGTCACCTAGCCACACCTGTACTCACATAGCTGCCCACTCTGCCCCAGGCACGGGGAGCCCGGTGTATATACTGGAGCTCTCACCAGTATATACTCCTTTGGTAATTGAAAGTAGAAAAATAACTTCGACAGCGGAGTCAGACTGGAATTTTTGTTATCTCAAAAGCAAAACTTTGTACAAAGCAATTAGCATCAGAACAATGTCAAAGACATTTTATCTTTCATTTAAAATAAAGAAGATTTTTATAACCTTTTTACTAGGTAAATAGATAAATAATAAAATAAATGTAGCAAATAATGTTTACTATAGAAGCTAGATAGTAAATATTCAAGTGTTCACCCTACAATTCTTTTCAAATTGTCTCTGTGTTTGGAAATATTCATAACAAAATATCAGAAAAAAAACTTCACTGTGGAAAATTTTTAACACAGACCGGCAAGTCCCTATCATCCTACTCAATAATGCTCCACCTGCAGACGTCTCTTTGCTCTACAACTCCCCTGACTCCAAGCCCTGCAAATTACCAGCATCATATAAGCAATCTAAGACATTTCAGTTGTGTGACTGAAGTACAGATTCCTGCCTAAAGTGATGCCATCACCCACCAGAGGCCGTGGTGCTCTCTTCATGAGTCGCTCACTACCCAGCTGAGATTTGAGCTTCCATGCTTATCCTGTACCTGTTTGTTTTTTTTTTTTTTTTTGGCGGAACCGGGGATTGAATTCAGGCCCTTGCGCTTGCCAGGGAAGCGCTTATCCCACTGAGCCATCTCCCTGGCCCCTACCTGTACCTGTTTTTATTTGCTTCCCTTTCTTGTGATGTTAGAAGCAATTGATTATAATTGTTTAGGTTCCCTAATTGCAACATGGTGCCACAGACACCTGCCTTCCTTTGTACCCCTTCTGAACTTCCTCCTAAATGCTGGGATTACAGGAGTGTACCACCAGGCCTGTTTTATTTTCCTCCATTTTCTTATCAGCATTTATTTAATAATAGTAATGTATTTTGATCCATTATATATAACCATTGATGAGTTCAGAAGAGTCCTTGTAATACAAGTCTAGTAGTCTAGCTTCCTATGGCTACTTTTACACATCACCATTAACTGGG